GATAAAACGATCGATTAGTAGAAATTGGATAAACCAGCATATGAACTTGTTTAGAATTAGATTAGTGAAAAATTAACCCTTGTATTGTAGAAAGGGTAAACTCGTATGAGAGTGTTTCCCAAGGAATAATAATGATCCGTCGTCTTTCCCCAACACGCCTTCCTTCTTCTGTTATTTCCATTCCAATTTTTTTCTCATTCTTTCCATTTCGCTAATCGATCGATTCCCACCAATTGTTCTTGACCCTGATTCTCCTCTTCTTCTGATTCCAGATTTTGTCTCACTCCTTGTGTCTGCTCTTCCAGAATTTCGTCTCTAACAATGAGCGGAATCTTTATCCTCCGCAAATTTTCCATGAAAACTCCTTCTCGGTTTCATAGGAGCCTCTTCTTTTCCAAATTTTCCATCGATTTATCACCCGATTTAGCCCGAAACGCCTTAACTCGTCCCTACTCAAGCTCTATCTCGAACCATCCTACCGGATTCAACAGACCCCACCAGTTAATTCCTTCTTCCATAAGGTGTTTGGGCCAATCGAAGGTTTTACCGAATTGGGTTTCCGATCAAACGACAAGTACCGGCGTCTCCGTAAGAGAATTTTCCACATCTGTGGAAACCAATACCAGTGACAAAAGCTTCGAGAAAATTCATGTTCAAACTGGTCTAAATTCGAATCCATTGGTCATTGAAAGGATACACAAAGACGAAGGCGAATCAGTTTCCAGAATTGAGATTGAGAAATCTGAAGGTAAAATTGTAGAAACTGTTGGTGGGAAAGTGAGAGAGGAGAGTGAGGCTGAGAAGGAAGCGTGGAGGATTTTGGAAGACGCCGTCGTTAGGTATTGTGGTTCGCCGGTTGGGACGGTGGCGGCAAATGATCCCGGAGATAAGTTGCCTTTGAATTATGATCAAGTCTTTATAAGAGACTTTGTGCCTTCTGCTTTGGCTTTTTTGCTTAAAGGAGAAGGAGAAATTGTCAGGAACTTTCTCCTCCATACATTACAGCTACAGGTAGTGATTATAGTTTGAATCAACTAATTTATGGGTTCTATCTGTCTAATGGTTTGCTATTGACCTCTTGTTTAAGAAAATGCAAAGCGGAATTTCAGTAGATTTTAGTGAATTAAGTGTGGATTATTGAAGTTTTTATGGTTTGTTATTGATAGACTTTTATTTGTTTTCTTAAGAGCTGGGAGAAAACGGTAGACTGTTACAGTCCCGGACAGGGGTTGATGCCTGCAAGTTTCAAAGTCAGAACCGTGGCACTTGATGAGAACACTACCGAAGAGGTTCTGGATCCAGATTTTGGTGAATCAGCTATTGGTCGTGTTGCACCTGTGGATTCGGGTCAGTAGATTCTCTCTGGCTATATAAAAGTGAATACGTACATGTATATGCGATTGATTATTCTTTGAGAGTGTCGCTTGGAGAGCTATGTGGATTGTATTCTTTTCTTCATGGGAGTTTGTTACTGATTGTTTTGTATGTCATTTATAGGTTTGTGGTGGATTATTCTCTTAAGGGCATATGGAAAGTTGACGGGAGATTTCTCATTGCAAGAGAGGATAGATGTTCAGACAGGCATAAAGCTCATCATGAACTTGTGTTTAGCAGATGGATTTGATATGTTTCCAACACTTTTAGTCACAGATGGATCTTGCATGATTGATCGTCGAATGGGTATCCATGGCCACCCCCTCGAAATCCAAGTACCGATTCTTTGCCTGTTTATCTTATTATAACGTAAGATATTTATCTTTTTTTGTGAGACTTATACTTGATTTTCTCTGTGGATACATTGCAGTCATTATTCTATTCGGCACTCAGATGCTCTCGTGAGATGCTTTCTGTTAATGACAGCTCCACGAATCTTGTAAGAGCCATTAACAACAGATTAAGTGCTTTGTCCTTTCATATCAGAGAATACTACTGGGTGGACATAAAAAAGATCAATGAGATATACCGTTACAAGACAGAAGAGTATTCCACAGATGCTACTAACAAGTTCAACATCTATCCTGAACAAATTCCTCCATGGCTCATGGATTGGATTCCCGAGCAAGGTGGGTATCTCCTTGGGAACCTACAGCCTGCGCACATGGATTTCAGATTCTTCACTCTCGGGAACTTTTGGTCTGTTGTTTCCTCCTTGAGCACACCAAAGCAGAATGAAGCTATATTGAACTTAATTGAAGCTAAATGGGACGATATTATTGGGAGTATGCCTCTTAAGATCTGTTATCCTGCTTTAGAGTATGATGATTGGCGTATAATTACTGGGAGCGACCCAAAGAACACGTGAGTCTCGCTTACTCTTTACTTTCTCTTGCGCGCACTCCCTTTATTTTAGTTGTTGACAAGATTGCGTATTTTGCGTTTAACTCTTTGTGTGAACCAACCTTAAAAACAGTTGATTTACTTTGCAGGCCTTGGTCGTATCACAACAGTGGATCTTGGCCAACGCTTCTTTGGCAGGTATGCAGATATTTGTTTGGAATTTATATTGATTAATAATAATACTTAGATCACCAAAATCAACCAGGAGGGTCATATTAAACACTTGTACAGTTTCAGAGTTCTCACAAAAAGCTTTGTGTGTTTGACTTTTGTAACAGTTCACATTAGCATGTATGAAGATGGGTAGACCAGAGCTTGCTGAGAAAGCTCTTGCATTGGCTGAGAAGAGACTTATGGCAGATCATTGGCCAGAGTATTACGACACCCGATCTGGGAAATTCATTGGAAAACAGTCCCGGCTTTACCAGACATGGACAGTCGCAGGATTCTTGACTTCTAAACTCCTCCTGGCAAACCCGGAGATGGCTTCGCTGTTATTCTGGGAAGAAGATTATGAACTTCTGGATATTTGTGTTTGTGGTCTCAGCAAAACTGGCCGGAAAAAATGCTCCCGAGTTGCTGCCAAGACTCAGATTCTTGTTCGATGAGTGCAAAACAGTCTATGTGCTTCTCCGAACATTTCAATCGTAATAAGCTTTTTAGGCTTAGATCTTTCAGGATTTGAAAATTTACAGAAACATGACTGTCACAA